ACAGCTAGTGCTAATCTATCCAGTGCCGCTTGACACGTTTGTGAGCTATCACAGATTAGGGCAATATCATCAGCATACTCTAAGTCAAGAAGTCGTTCTCCTGGGAGCAGATCCACACCGTCAGTGTCCTGTGAACGCGATGTCCATGACTTCCTCAACAGCGAAGTTGAAGAGGAAAGGTGACAGCGTGCATCCTTGTCTCAAACCGCTGGTGATATTAAAGGGTGGCGACAACTTACCGTCAGCCCACACCCCGCCCGTGCTACGCGCGTATAATGCTTGGATAATATTTATATATTTCTCAGGAACACATTTTCTGAGTACACAATCTCAAAAGACACATCGATCAAACGAATCGAAGGCACATTTGATGTTGAAGAACACGACTACCGTGGACCGACAATATGTGTGACGGTGCTCCAACAACTGACGCAAGGTGAAGATGTGGTCAATGCAGCCACGATCCCGACGAAACCCGGCTTGCTCTTCACGAATCTGGCTTTCACGTATGCCAGTCAGTCTGTGACGGATGACAGGAGCAAGCAATTTAGAGGCAATCGAAATCAGACCGATTCCTCTATGGTTGCCGCATTCCGAGCGCGTGCCGCCTTTGAAGATGGGAACAATAACGGAGCGGCTCCAGTCGGTTGGGACAGTTGCCTGCTCCTACAGTTTCACTAGTAACTCGTGTAAATCATCCACAAGAGCAAGTCTCCCGAATTTGCAGTGGGCTGAAAGAAGAACATCTGGTCCCGCGGCTTTGCGTAACTTCAACAGTCCGATCTCACGTTCGACTTCTGAGCGAGAGAGTGGATCCAAAGGGACAGCCTACGGAGCAGGGCGATCACTAGCCGGCGAAGAATCGAACAATTCTAGCCGATTAAATTGCTTTCCAAAATGTTCAGCCCAACGCTCCAAACGTTTTGACAAATTGCGGATAGGCTGTCCACTCTCTTCACGTATAGTTTCACTAACATCAGGTCTCGTGCTGCCCGTTTCCCGTATCAGACGGAATAACTTACGGTGGTTGCCAAGGGCAGCGGCCACTTCCATCTAATCTACACGAAATCTAATAAATCCCCTACTACTTACAAATAACCAGTAGTCGCCTTAGCAACTTACATGCTACCTGAATTAGTGGAGGCTTGCAAAGGAAGTCGTTGCTCTGGGGGTCAGCCCTGTCCTCTGCACATTCACAACATGCAAGACAGTGGAGGATGAGCCGCGCTATATCGCAGTTAGATAGCAGTCATGGCGGTCCGCTGCCGTCGCCCATGGCTCAGGGATATAAGTCGCTGACTCGCAAGAGTAAGGTTGTGGGTTCGAATCCGGTAGGATTCGGCAGGTGCGCGATACTGACGAGTCCCCATAGAACTGAAGGGCCGTCTAGCGCTTTCCTGGATGTGTGGTGGCTGTCCGCCTGTGGCTAACTGCGACGAAACTACACAGAAACTTCCATCTTTGACGCACGATGAAACCACCAGGATTAGCGGTCTCTCTTCAGGCTAACACGGAGTTTTGCCCGGAACTCTTTGCGAGTTTCATTGTGTTCGCTTCCAGTCGGGATATGCCGGCAAGAATAGATAAGTTCCATAGACCGCGAAGAGACTCAATGTCCATGTTGGCTATTAGACATACCACATGAGGATTTGCCTGCTGCTAGTAAGGTCTGGTGAACATGTGACCAGTGAACATCAATTGTCTCCAGTGAGCGCTGACTCAACGCATATGTCAGCGCACTTCGATACGCATTCAGAAAAGCTAGCTTTGTCAGTTGGCTCGTGTCATTGCGGTCACAGTGTCATCGTCGGCGTTCGCCAAAACGCATCCGCATGTCAGCACATACAAGTGCATGATCGGTGTCCACACATGTGCTCCAAATCTGATCCATAAAGACCGGCATCATCACAGTATTACACACCGTACCTTTCACTGACAAGCTGATATCCCGTAGTCTCCATAGATGATTGTGTCTTCGGAAAGCCACAGGAGCCTTGCTGGTACGCGAGGTAACCATCTCGGTGATGTGACCACAAGTGACACAGGTCTCGAGGTAACTGAACCGATGCACCACTTCTAGTGGCTGTTCGGTGCCAGCCAGAACCGGAGGTGTGTCGGTTCAGTCCTGCAGCAGCACTTTACACTTTGAAGGTGCAAAGCACATGTCGAAGCGTGCAGCATTGCGCGCTAGTCGATTCAGTAGTGCTTGTATAGTCACTGTGTCAGACCCGAAGAGAGCTGTCGTCTGTATACTCCAGGTTTGTCAGTCGGTCACTTAGCAGAACTTGCGTACCAGAAGATCCTGCAAGATCGGAGTCATTCGTGATCAGTCCGATCACAAAATGGAACAATAAAGGAGATTTGGGACAACACTTGCGAACCCACTTGTCGTGGGAATTCGGGAGAGAGCTCCCAAAGTGTGACGAACTATGTAGGCGGGATCAAGGGATGCAGCAAATAGTAGCGTCGCAGATGTGGGGAACTGCTCTTTAAAATGTTCTCCTCAAAGGGTTAGTCGACGTAGAGGAAAATGGATCATCTGTCCGTCTTTAGCAGCTATTATCTAACAAACGGATGACTTTCTCGAAATCCTGTTCCGGATGAGCTAAAATAGCATTCAGCTTTTCCCGATTGCACTGAATTTCCCTATCTCACGGGTCTTTGAAACGCACCAAGGTCCGATCAATTCGGGATACACTGAAACTCAGTACATTGGGAAAACTGCTTCGACTAAACTGATCGATGCCTTAGAGAACCAATCACAGTGCCGATGTCTCAAGTTGGAAATGGTTGGCGGCATCCGGTTTCGGATTTGCCTGTCACTGTGGCCAGTCACGGGACGCCTGCGCCTACAGAGAGACCATGGATGGTTTGCGCTGCACCACCCACAGCTCCAACCACACACCCATACCCAGTGTAAACCCGAAGGAATAAGACCGGGAGGCATGCGGATGGGAGCCACGTTTCATCAACGGAGCCGGTCCACAATCCTTCACAGACAAACACAAGCACGCTGTTTATGGAGAATCAAGTACACACAAGACGGTGGCTGGACCGTAGTCCGCTCCACACTGAGTGCATGGAACCACTCTTCGAGCCTAGCACGACCACAAGAACCGTGCACCCCGTGCCCTCCAGCAACGACCAACTGTCTCCTGGAGCCAGATGGACGAGGTAGTGGGCAATAGACAGGTCGGCACCTTGACAACATGCACATGAAGCGCAGCCACACCTGGGATGTCAAACAACAGCCAATCATTCGAAATACCGATATCGAATAAAGTAAACGCATATGCCGACATAAATACTCGTTAAGTGAGCATATGGAATAAACTGATTATAAGTGAATCCGGAATAAGTACAAAATGTCCGAAAGTTATTTACAAAATACCATGCGATAAAATTATGCAAGTTTACCACAATTTACATGAGCGAGGTGTGCAAGTTGGACATACAGAGGCGTAAAAGGTATACCTCGTGAGATGATTCGAGTCAGTACTTGACCGACTAACGCCATTTACCAATGAAAACAGTTGGGGAAGTTAGTGATGATGTGGTTGAATGGCGGACGGCGAGTTCAAGTTACAGGTGAGAAGCCAAGAAGTTGAGGACTTCTTTGACGCTGCTCTGCTCTGCTTGAAAGGGGCGCTAGCAGACCACTGACCATCGGGTGGTGCTCTTTTGTCGTCCGTTAGTGGGAAGAAATTACTTACTACACCAACAGAGTTGCGAGTTTCTAAGCCGTTATTTGTCGTTTTTCACGGCTAATATTTGGAGGAAGCGAGTCCTCGATCTCACTCCAACCTCCGAAGAGAATAATGTGTAAGAAAGTTAACAGTTGACTTGCATATTATGAGTGAATCTAAAGGCGCTTGAAAATGCCAACTATTGTAACTCTATTGGTGACGGAGGTACGCAAGCCATCGTACCACGTTAAGGTAAAGTCTCGTCTCGGTGGACTAAGGCATTAACAGTACGCTGGTACACCGAACTGACGGTTCGCTATCGAGCGACCACCACTAGTCGCCTGTAGGTTAGGGATACGGCTAGCCCACCAGTGCCTACGCAGATTCGGATCAATGACCTTTAGACTACAAGGCAAACGAATAATAGTTTCGACCAGTGACGTTCATGGAGGATAGAACCTTATGTATTGCGTTGCGCGGTGCGAAGATACCAACCACAACAAATGCATTATAGTGGTTTCGTAAACACCATCCCAAATCAACGTGCCACCCTAGCAACGTTAACTCATGCCGCAGTCTTCCTAAACAGAGAGAGAGATACAGAGAGTCAAGTCAAGTGCAGATAGACAGAGGAGCAAGTGTGATAGTGAAACTGTCAAGTGGCCTTCCAAAACAATTTGCCAAACGATAGAGGTATCTATTTGCGAGCGGATCAACTGTGCACCTTCCTCAGATGACGAGTTCCAAACTGAGATCTCGCTTGGACCCGAAATTTGGGGCACTGTGAACAGCATTCAGCAGTCATTCCCTATGCCGAGAAACATCTACATATCAAGAACCCTCACTGCTCACAGCCAATACTTAGACTTATGATGAGATGTCGTTTCAGAAGATGTATATTTATCGAAGTGTCAGAAGTCTCTGCACTATTCTGACGATGGAAATTTAGGTGCTAGCAACTGTCAACGCATTCAACGTGGTGTATCAGAGAAGGGAGGCCTCAGTCAACAACCGGTTCATCCTTCTAGTTGCAGTTGTTATTCAACACTCGCTTGTTTAATGGACTATGAGAACGAGTGACATGTACGCAATCCCCTCTTTATTAGTCTCGTCGCGTCCGCCTCATATAGGTGCTCATGATATGTGACTAACTGGCGCTGCGATGAAATTCGACAGTACGAAAATATCATCGGCCCTAAAGCAGAGTTCGGATTCTTTACAACTTTTAAAATAATACCATGTATGCAGTCACAGAAATAATGATTTATTAATTTCAAAACATAGCAGCGATAGACAGGTATATGGGTGGCTTACTCAATAGCCAATTGGAAGCTTTTCTTCGAGAACAACAGCTCCAATTTCTCATGGGTGCTTTTTTCTATCAAACAGATAAGCTAGGCAGCAGAAAATGTAAGAAAGGTCGATGAAGTAAGAGTATCATAAATAGCGACTGGATTAGGGAAATAGTTATAGCAAATATGGTGAACCTGTGATGATGATCATAGTGAAACACAATTTCGGCGAATAATACACCAAACGGAGTAGTCAGTTTTAGTGTATCGAGAGAACTGGCGACGTATTCTCTTCTGCCTATTCAGTAAAACATTAACTGGGCTAAATTGTTGCGAGATCTACAGTTATTACCGCCATAGTAAGCTTCAGCGGTCAGACGACTGAAAGTTTTGTATCTATAAGAGAAATTTGCAATCCGAATAACGTAAGGACACTATAAACTTTTTTGGCACATTTGGTGGCACATGTATGTATAGTAAATGTTTGATTCAGGTTGAAAGCGTCTCATGTTATGTGCGAACAAAAGTGCACGTAGGTTATAAGTATCACCAGTGAATTACACCGTTGGTCGTTCGGAGCACTTGTAGTCTATGACAACACTTATGGGTGATTAACCATGTGAAAAGATACAATACTTTACTGTGCCTTTTTGCGAGAGCTTACCGTTCTTCTCGCATCTATAAAGAAAACACTTGGATAGCTCTGGGTGAGTGCAAATTGTTGCGTATTGGCAAGTGACACCAACGCGGAAAAGTGTAAGCAAAACTGACACTCACTGTATGGTACTGTTGTTGAGGTTCAGTGTGCGGAACTTGACACAGAAGATAGATACCATCCCATTCAATGAACATGGCACAAACTCCCTGAACCGCGAATTCTCCAGCGATGAATTTGTTCTGCCAGTCATGAATTAGGACAACGGTTGGCTCGAGTGTATTTGTAGCCAAACTGCTTTGATCGATGGAAGGATGTGATTGAATTGGCGCGCCAGAGGCAGGTAAATAGAAACCGCTGAAGAGTCATGGAAAAAGATAGTTGCTGGTGAGATGCACCAAGTAGACCGACCAGCCCCCGGACAAGAAACGAGTTTAACTAGGCCAGATCTAATCAGGCATGACAGGTATCTAGAAAGCTAGCAGTGGTTGGTGAACGTTTTCCCGTTTTTCAGTGAGCATCTCCACGCATACTAAGGTATTAATGAGTAGTGGGGATTTCCGTATAGTTCAGAGGTAATTCATCACAATCCACTATGAGTCACGATCAGGCTGACGAGATCCGGAAGGTCGAAACAGCGCTGTCTGGTGTTTCTCCAGACGCGCCAAAGCCTGCTGACTGATAGTGGACTGTGATGAATTTTCTCGCATATTCCTAAAGCGTTTTAGATGGAAAGACGTTACATCGAAGGTCATTGACTTTGTAGAGGTAGCTGTGAATTTAATGCCCCAGGTTGTTGTGCGGATTTGAAATGGATTGGAAGCGCCTGGTTGCGAATGCTATGCTAGCTAGATACTAGTTATGAAAAAACGCGATGTCCAGAAGATGTAGGAGCCTGTGCACGTAATTTAGATGTTACTGCACCATGTTGACTGGCAGCCCCAGATGCGCTCACCCAGCCTAAAGCGGACCAGTTATGCATGCGTACACTTTGTCCAGTGCGTCAGTTTACAGAATCGAGCAATAGCGGAAATTTGCCGAATGAGCAAATGAACTGTGATCACTCCCGAATACTCTTCACTTGTTTCAGGCGCAGTGGATTGGCGGCATCTGCATCTGGATTTGCCTGTTGTCACTGTGGCCAGCCACAGGACGCCTGCGCCAACAGAGGAACCATGGGTGGTTTGCGTTGCACCACTCACAGTTCCACTCACACAGCTCATATCCAGTGTAAACCGGAAAGAATAAGACTGGGAGGCATGTGGATAGGATGCAGGCGCAGTGACGCACAACGTAAATGCGGCGAAGTTCGCTCACCATTCGTGTGGGGTCGCCGGTGAGTTTAGGTAGGACTCACGCGGCGCGAGGTCCGCGACCATCTCGCAACTGGAATGTGCACGTCACTCCGGGTGAGTTCAAGAGCATGGCACATTCACGTAACGCCAAGCAGTCCGAAGAGCGTGCTTACGTGCGAATAGGGTGAGTAGTATGCTTACGCAGAATACGTTTGCGAAGCTGATGATAAGGTTTATCGAATCCGATTGTGGATAGGTAGTAAAAAAGGGAAACCTAGTTATCGTGTACCACCTGTATTTTGGCGCGGCTACATGGGAACAAAACTATTAGTAGAAAAGCAGAAATGTGATTGCCGGAATTAGCACACCAAAGTTGTGTAAGTGACCCCTTCTAGGAAACTACAGCTGTATGTTAGACGGAAGAGTTTAAGGATGTATCGAACACACTGCTGCACTACTAAAGGTTGACGCACAAAGCAACTGGTAGATTGAGCAATGAATAGTTGAACCTAGATACAAAACTCCATGGCTACAAAACAACATAACCAAAAGAAATGTGAAGTAACGGAAGCTAAAAGAAGAAGAGGGTATTAACAACTGGCCTCAGAATGAAGTGAAACTTGCCAAGTATGGTAGGTAGGTGCAGGAAAGAATAGGTGCATCGAATGAGATACTCACGAGCAACCTTTGAGAAGGATGAGGTAATTTTTGAACACGGACAAAGCCAGCTTCTCCCCGTCGGTGGCCAAACAAGGACCCCGTCCATCCCAATTGTAAAAGTAGACGGCCTGGAAGGAAGAAGTGAGATAAGTGGCCATCATGTGTGACGGAAAGGTGGACTTGAATGAAAGCGAGGTGAATGGACAAAATGCAATGGCTCAACAAAATTCGAACTCGAGTAGGCCTTCGAAGGGTAAATATCAGGTTTGAAAAGAGCAAAGTGAGATTCAATGCACCAAAAGTGTGTCATCACTAACAACAACAATGACGAGAATAAACCATGATACAAGTGAAGGGGAAACAATAACAGCATCTCAGTTCAGTCAGTGGAATGCGATTCAAACACCCGAGTGTAGTGAATCCAGTTGCCTGATCGGAGCTGTAAGAGTGGGGCGTTGCCAAATATGGAGTTCTTAGTTTTGATGACATTTGAAAGTTTATGAGATAGTTCTAGATGACATTTATCCTCAGAGCGATTTCTTTCCAGCGAACGGCTGTGACTAGATGCAGCTTCTGGGGCCGCCCATCACATCTGTTTCGTCTTTATTGACCTGCTCAAGTCGATATCCACTCTAAGGATATCGAAGACTAGGTTGAGGTAAAAACATCAGTTATGTATAGAACCATGTACGGTAGAGCATTTAGCGGAATCTGTTTATCCATTCGAGACCGATTACTCTCTTATAGTAAGAGAATACAACCAATGAATATCGACCGTGTCTGCGCAATGATGCTAACAAGCCTAGTAAACTTTTGGATGCATTTCTGCGTCAACGCATGAGAGCAATAGCATTGTTGACATTCTTAAAGCAAATTCTGTGTTAAGTGTGAAGTCACTTTCGATTAATGGAACGATGTATAGGAGACGGCTCCCATTGGCGTTATGCCAATGGCGACAGTAACGGAAAATATTGCAGCCTGGACAGGTCAGAATAAGGTTGGGTGGATATAATAAAATCACAAACATTTCCAGCGGGATAACGTGGAAAAGCAGTAATCTTGGGGATCTGTAGACGCCACATTCCAAGTTGACAGGTTAATTGCATTTACATCCCTGAGAAACGGTAAAGTGGTTAGGATTGTATCCATTTGGAGGTAACCGTGTAGAAAGTACCTGTTCGCTTCTTTGTGTTGCTCTCGCCTTCATACATACACAGTGAAGTCCAGAGAAGTCATGAAAGTGTTCACGGACAGCTGCAACACAATGACGCCTGAGATCATTAACCAGCGACAGTCAAAGCGAGTCGGTAGCCACATGTGTTATTCCCGTCCCATAATCCGACGGAGCGATGAATTCGTCGTGATATGCACATGCCCAGAACAGGCGAGTATGGCACAATGAATAGTAACACACGAAGAAAATTACTCACATGAAATGGAGGATTTTGGTGTTGCTCTTTCCCGTCCCTGCACTCCACGACCGACGGTTTCGTCCTGGTTCGGAATCATCAAGTAGAGAAAGTCTTATGCATGAGTGGAACCCGGCACACAATAGTTGGCGGCTATCGCCACTGGGCCCGCGAGCAGGCACTCAAACGTCTTGTGCCTCCAGATGCACGCCTTTGTGACTCCGTGGATGCCTTGAACACAAGATGATTGGACTGACTCGGGCTTAAGCTACGGCCCAGATAGTCTGTAACTAATACCAATTCGCATCCTCGAGTTCCACGCTCTCCGTCAAGTACACGCCCTATCTCGACATTGGATGTTGAATATATATGATAATCTTGACGTTAGGTTATCATTGTCTCAACTGTACACTTGGAGTTTCTGTATTATCTCGCAACACTAGCGAGGTCGGTTGATTCGTGTGCAAAAGATGACGAGAAGCTGGATGCAAATGAGTTGATGGTGATGATGGTATGAATCGAGATAACTGAGTGAGACTGCTGCTTCTAGGAGGGGGATTGTGGCTTGTGTTCCACATTTTGGGGGATTAATGCAGCGACCTAGTTTTCTTCTTCAACCGTTACACTCCATGGTTTAACAGTTTATAATCAAGATATTACACACTTGAGGAAAAAATTCACATTTTCTTAGTCGCAGCCCAGAATCTGATATCCTTTTAAAACCACCCACAGAGTGTGCAGATAATCAGCAGTGTTTCGCCCTGTCATTAGGAATTTTGTCTAGGTAAGCACCTGAAGTGTGTTTATCGCCAATGAGTCAATAATCCGTCGATATAAGGTCGGTGCGGAGCGTATTCCAAAATGTGGGAACCGCCATAATCGACTTAGCCATGCGCAGTCCAATTTACTCCGTCCACATATTGTTACGCCCGAGTGAAATCGGAAGTACATCGTAAGGCTACTATTAGTCATGCATGTGTACAAATGTTTTGTTGGGTACGCAATCATAAGGATGCGATGAGTTTTAGTGTAGACAGAGAGGACATGGACCGATGAGCGCAATAAAGGTGTAACGCTCACCGGTTGAACGTTGAGTGACACGTAGCCAGTGATCCGACAATCAAAACAAAGTTGGATTGCAACAACCACGGTACTATCGAAGCATATACATTAACATAAATCGGACAAACCTCAATTGTTCTGGGTCCCGATACCTGTGTCACCAACTGGTGCAATTACACGGTTGGGCAGGAAATCGATTTCACAACCGCTCAACGCGGAACATTCAACGCAAGCAAAACCACACGAACTTGTTTTAACAGTAAACCAATGATCAATAGTAACGGCCCACATAGGGTAAAGGTGCATAGTGAAATTAATCACATACAGGGCTGCACAGAACAGATGCCAGGTAATGTTACAATCCGCACAGATCAAATGAGATCAGCTATGGCTAAAGTTCTAGGGAGTGCATACGTAAACGAATCGTCATCATCATCATCATCATACACGTTAGCTAGACGTGGGGAACATCTTAGCTACTGTGGCGCAATACATAGAAAAAAGAAGAGAAAAAAATGCAACTGGTGCAAGCCGGCTGAGCTACCGGTAACGGATGGGCCTCGTTCCGGTAAGCTACCAGCCGGCAACTGTGCATCAAAAAATTACTATGCAAAATTATATAGGATTAAACGAATGATGAACCCCGACACAAGAGTGTGAGCGTACGTAGCGACTAACAATGTAAGCACACGCAATGGGGGAAGAGGGAAAAACTCCGGTTATCTGAGGACAAGGACAGCGTGCTAGTGATCCTCGCAGTGGGGAAGGAAGATGATGAAGCCAAGGGTTTCTCAGAGGAATTTTCTAATCAAAGCCAAACTCCGCTACAAAAAATAGGGAACGAATCACACACAAACACACACGCAAACGTGCACTATGCAGTCGGCAGAAGTAACCCATACGCAACTAGCTTCGGATGCAATCGATACAGAGTGCCGGTGCAGTTGCTCAATATGAGGTGGCATAAGAACGGTGGCCTCAACGATGCCTCTCTGCCACGCAACCATCAGCGACTGATGCAGCCTTGTCAATACCTGTACGAGTGCGAACCGTTTAACAATGGATCACAAGCCCTCGATAACCCAATATGCAGTGAGCAGTGTTGGAGCAGATGGTCTTTTCATTGTGTGGTTTACGAAATCTGTGCAAGAAATTGCGCACCGACCGCAGGGTGGCAAGACAGCAAGTCAATCAGGATCGTCCCTGGTTCGAGTAAACCAAGGACGCGAAAGCCCAGGTAGAAACAGCAACGTGGTGCAAGATGGAAGGACCCAAAGTAGGGGACTCGTTGTTTGTTGAACTTAATTAGCCCCACTGGGTCAATGGAGATCGGTGAGCGCAACACGAACTCTTGGACTGGCAATGCGACTTTAAGAAATGTCATTAGGCAGCTTAGAGCCCCATCCCACACAGTATGAATCTATGGCGTAAAATAGATAGCACACTAAACTCACGCACACTAAACTCATCCTCACTCGCATTCCCAACAAAGTGGCTTGGAACAGTGCTGCAAGGTAAAGGTGGGTTGAAGGTACGAAAGGCCCAATGTGCTTTCCGCTGGAGGTCATAGGGAGTTATTAAGAGCGTGAGTAAAATGAAACGCAGCGGGAGCGTGACAAACTATAAACATTGGAAAAACAAACTAAAGAGTCGCGTTAGAGAGAACGGGCAACTCACATCTTTGCAGGCAACAGCAAACTGCGGAACACCATCAGCAAAGTCCACCATGGAGGAACAGCTTAAAGCAGCTCCAAAGCTATCTAACACAGTCTGAAATACAAATAAGAGACTAAGTAAGGTGAAGGTATCTGGAGGGCGATCGCAATAGGTTTCAAAAAGTCCAAAAACACAGTCAGTGACCTTAGAGAAAATTAGCATGCAAAAAGGATTGTTCATCACAATTGGCGTAGAAAAAGTGTCAGCCTACTGTAAAACAACCTGAACGAGTCAGTGTCAACGTTTTTGCAACACAAACGTCATACAAGGCGGAGATCGTTCCGTTTGATCAACATAAGGTGCATTCCAGGAGAGTTGTTGGACGGGTTACAATTCAAAGATTACTCGATACAACTCAAAAAGCACCTCAATTACACGACTAAGAGAAGGACGGTCCAGAAAATGATCTACATCGAGGTGCTGCCGAAAAATGGACCGACTGTTGAAGTCGCAGTGAAACGCCTAAGCCCATCGCTGAAATAGGCATGTGAAACATTAGAACTACAGTCGTTCAGTTCCAGGAGACCCCAGCTGTTGCTCGGTAACCATGACCGTGCTCAGAGTCAACAGGTTCACCGACCTTTCGGATATCCAGGGACTGGTGCGGTGATGATCGTTAGTACCACAAACAGAGACCCAAGAATGGTGCATGGCGGCCGAGATCCTATTTCACCGAAGCTCAGCGTCATTAGGGCAGGAGAGCGAAACTTCTGTACGCAGTGCATTTTGATAAGCCTGCCTGACCGGGGCTGAGATAAATTCACACACGCCGATCGAGGGGAAAACGACACACAGTAAAAGCAAAATTGGGCACC